AACAACAACATTTTGGGTCATAAAAGTCCATTTTTGCCACATTGTATTTATTAGATACCGTCAAGTCCTGAGAACCCTGTGTTAAACAGATGGACGTCTTGTCTGATCATATGGCATCATCAGAATCCATTTTGTTGAGGATCTTTCCTCACTTTACTGAGCATTATGTCCTTTTCCAAGGACTGGCTCCTTTTACTTTCTACCTTTCCAAACATGACGTCCTTTTCCAAGGACTGGCCTTTCCTGACAACATGACCAAAGTATGTGAAACAGTTTCATTGTCTTTGCTTCTAAGGAGCACTTTGCACTAATTTTTTTAATTTTTCACTTATTGGTTTGCTTTAAAAGGTTAAATACATTGTATTTCATACAATCACTCACATTCGTTATATTTTATAAAACTCTTCAGGTTTCCACCAGATCTTTCCCATTTCTTTTACCCCCCTGCCTCTATCCACCAAATTATGCAACTCTACTTTTGCCCCTACCCATCCTCACCCTCAACGCCCATCCTTTCCCTCCTTGGATCCCTATGTATATTTTCCTACTTATCCTTCTATTTTTACAATAATGGTTAATGGCTACACTCATTTTTAAGAAAAAATCTGTTTGTTTTGATAGTTTGTGGTCTTTTCAGTACTCTGCCAGTACTGCAATTCAATAGCATTACTTCTTTTATCTTTCTTATGCACTAACTCTTGAATACATACAAAACATGCTTGAGTCAGGTGCACCTTTGTATTTAAAATGGTATCCTTGCTCTCCAGCACTTTTCAGTTCCTTGATTACAGATTTGTCCAATGCAACACACATGCTGCTTCCTCAGCTGTTAATAAGTAAAATTAAGTCATTGATAACTTCAACCTTTTTTTCCTCCATCTGTCATGCTGTTGCCTGTGGTCCAGTTGTAAGGATTTTTGTTTCCTTTATATTGATGCATAAAGGGAGCTCTGGTGGCATTGGGGTAAGAACCCACACTACAATCCGGAAGGCACATGGTTCAAATCTGTCAGTTTCTCTGTAGGAGAAGGATGTGCGATCTCCTCCTGCACATTAGCTGCCTCTGAAAATATGATAGAGGATCAGCTCCAGCTCAATGGCAAATAACATCTTAGAATGTTGTCCTTACTAAAGGCTGTAGTCTTTGATCTTTGTTGTTGTTGTGGTTATGTGACATCAGGTTGCTTGCGACTCGTAGCGACCCTACGTACAACTCTAAACCCTGCTCTATCTGTGCCACGCTATCTCAGACATACTTACTCCCATTACCCCAGTCACTGAATTGATCCATCTTATTAAGGGTCTTCCTCTCTTGTGCTGTCCCTCCACCCTCCCAAACATGATGTCCCTTTCCAAGAACTGGTCACTCCTTGCAACATACCAAAATATGTTAGACACAGCTTCAGAATCCTTGCCTCCAAGGAGCAGCCTGGCTTTACCCACTCCAGGATGAACCTGTTTGTTCTCCTAGCAGTCCATGATATATTCAACATTCTTTTCCAGCACCACAGCTCAAAGGCAGCAATTCTTTTTCTGTCATCCCTAGTCACTGTCCAGCTCTCAGACACATCACACACAATTGCAAAGACTATAGCCTGGATCAGGCGCTCCGTAGTCTACATAACAGTCTGATGTTGTCATTTTTCAGTACTGTGGAGAGATCTTCTTTAGTAAGTGTGTTAAGTCCTCTTCATTTTCAGCAGGCAAGATTGTATCTAGTTGCATAATACAGGTCAAGTTTCGTTTTTGCCATATAATGGTTGTTATTAGGGGCCATAAAGTCGACAATAACGTAGAGAGATATTATAACCAATAGCTCTGAACTTTGTGCTATTCTGTGCCATCCTCATGATCTCTGTCCTGCTCAGACTCATTGTGATAGTTACTGTGTCAATCCATCTTGAGAATCTTCCTCTCTTGCTCACCTCCTACCTTTCCTAGCATGATGTCTCTCTCCAAAGATTGCTTTTTCCTGACAATATGCCCAGCGTGAGATGAAGTTACACCATCTTTCCTCTAAGGAGCACTCTAGTTGCACTTCCTTTCAGACAGATTTGTTTGTTCTTTCTGTCAGTCTGTGGAACATTCCTTTTTGGCAAGACCACAGTTCAAAGGTATCAGTTCTTTTTTGGTCTTCCTTATTCATTGTCTAACTTTCAGATGCATAGAAAACAATTGAAAATACCATGGTTTGTGACTCACCTTAGTCTTTAAACTGGCATTGTTGTTCTTTAGCCCTTTAGAGAGGTCCTTGACAGCAGATTTTTTTGTGGATCCAAGTAAAATGAAGTCATTGAAACTTCATTCTTTTCTCCATCAATCATGATATTGGTCTAATAGTAAAGATTTTTGTTTTCTTGATTTTGAGATGCAATCAATGTTGGAGGCTGTGGCCTTTGATGTTTTTCAATAAGTGCTTTAGGTCTTCCTCACTTTTTGCAAACTGTATTGTTTCATCTGTATATTGCAGATTGTTGATCAGTCTTCCTCCCATCCTGATGCTATATTCTTCTTCATGTAGTCCAGCTTCTCTAATGATTTGCTTAGCTTACAGGTTGAATAAGTGTGGAAAAAAGAATACAATTCCTTTATGCACACCTTTCTTAATTTTAAACATGAAATGTTCACTTGTTCTGTTTGGATAACTATTTATTTGGCTATATATAAGTTTGTTATCCATAATTTGGTATGATCTACAGAGTCAAATGACCTTGCATAGTCAATAATGCCTTTGCATAGTTACTGCCATAGTAATAGCAAAATAAAAATTATAATTACTGATTGTCTTTGAATCCTAAAATGTATAACCCTGTGTTGTTGTTTTTTAAGCAGAGGCTGATAAAATACCAGTAATGCGGGGGCAGTGGTTTATTGATGGTACTTGGCAACCTCTAGAAGAGGAAGAAAGTAATTTAATTGAACAAGAACATCTCAGTCGCTTTAAAGGTCAGCAGATGCAGGAAAGTTTTGATATTGAAGTGTCAAAACCAGTAGACGGAAAAGAAGGTAAGATCAGTTAATGCTTTCTTTCCCATGAATTTAAAGTCTTTTCTAAGTTGTATATGGTAATTCAAGAGTGTAGAAATTATACTGTTGATTTTTTTAAAATTTCATTATTACTTTGCAGTAGAGTAATAAACTGTTATTAAACTCTGCATGAACTTTTCTGTTTTATTTAATATATATGTTAGCATGACACTAACATGATTGCCTCTAAATATATAAAAAATTATAATAATATGATCCTGAACAAGTTCTTTTTAGTATTTTCTATAGGTAACATAGAAGAATAGAATTTATCACAAAAAACTCCTTGCCATTATATCAGAACCATAATTAACAGTGTTTTAATGTTGGTTCTTTTTCTGAAACTTAAAAAAAAAAAATCTGTCATTACAAGCTATTCCTTACATTTTCTTATTCAAAATTCAAATATATTTGCCATAGTTATAAACAGTTTTATAGTGACTAAGATGGCTGTGTTTTCAGAATCTTGTGTAAAATTCAAAATGCCTTATAAGTTAAAAACACTTCTGTTGTTCCATTTACTGCAGGCAGTGGGATCAACTATTCTGGTGAGTATAATGGTGTAAATAGACTAGAATTTATAGATTTTTCTGTAGATTATTTTTCAAGAATGTTTCTTCCTCCATTCATGCCTTTTTTGAGAGGTTTCTTGACCAGACCTACTGATTTTCATGAGTTAAAACACAAATTAAGTTAGTTTTTTCATTTCCGCCTAAATTATCTCCACAACAGAAAATTACTCAACATTTAAGTAATCTACAGAATGCATCTTGAAAATAAATTATGTAGTTGAAAGTAATTGTTTATACAATATAACCCACAAAAACTAGAATGTATAAACAGTAAAGCTCAAATATTTTCTATTAAGTGATATAAAAGTAGTAATTGTTTTAATTATTTTAAGATTAATAAATCTACAGTTGATATTAGATTTTAATTTTTAAAAAGAAAAAAATTCTTTTTAAAGCCTTTTAATCCCATCAGAGAGATTTAAGAGACACAGAAATAAAAAAGTAGTCCCATCAAGTTTTAGCTGCCACAGATTTCACTATATAATGTGATTAATGGCAAAGAAATAATCTCTATATTGGGTGAAATTTTTTTTTTTGTTTTCTTTTTAGTAGCAACACATCAAGTCTCTTCCTCTCTTTCACTTTCTTTTACTTTTTTGTATGTGTATGTGTGTGTGTGTGTGTATATATATATATATATTTTGTGATAGCTCTCTAAACAAGCATAAATACACATTTATCACAAGCACAAAAATTCAATAGTTTAATTTATTGCACAGTTAAGTACCCTTAGAATCCAGTTCATTAAAAATTTTATAACTGAGCAAAGTTCTATATTTTATATAAATTGACTGTCCAGTTTAGACCATCAAATGTCCTAAATTTCTGTTATGTGCCAGATACCATACTCTACAAATTAGAATATATGAATATATAATCTTAATAATGCTGTACAATCAAATATTTTATTTCACTGAAATTTTAGCTGAAGACTCTTACATGCCCACAAATAGAAAGCTGTTACATGTAGTTGCTGTATAAAAGCTAAATCTATATTCCTGTAGCTTGCCGTCTGAACAGTATTTTTTTCTTATTGCAAACTTTGTATATCCCTCATCTTTTGTTGGTGACAAGAGTTTTGTAATTTCTTATCAAAACTGCCAGAATAAGCTCAAAAGACTTTTCAAATCATAAATTAATTTCACTGCTACTTGAGAAGATTGGGCTCTGAATCCTCCCCTCTCCTGTTAAATAACATTTTATCTTAAACTCAGTTTAAGTTTCATCAATTCCTTACTATTAATAAGGGGGTGGGAAGTGTGGAATCCATTGGTTTAGAGAAGAAAAATTGAGTTCTCTCACACACATTATGAAAAAGCCTTGATTCTTAGTATTATCAGAAGATTTTTACTGTTTCCTTGTACAAAGAGTATTGTGCTAGGCAATTTTGTAAAAGGAGTAGATATGAAAGGAGAAGCAGGGGAATACAAAACAGATGGGGCAAAGAAAAATGGAAAAATGATAGACCGAAATCCAATCATATTTGTAATTATAGTAGATATAGCTGAAATAAACATTCCCATTAAGTGGCAGTGGTTCACAGATTTTATAAGAGTGGAAGACCTAACTATGTGCTATTTATAAGAGTCACACTACAAATAGAAAATCACCATCAGAGTGAAATTGAATGATACTTAAGTGTTCAGGCTAATTATGGGGTGATAATTAGGAGTGGTAGGACAACACAAATGTTGATTGACTTGTAAGGATTTTCATTCAACAACTTGGCATGAAGTGTATATTTTTGTCACTATTGCTGGATAAAGGTATCCTAAAACTATGAATATAAAATTTGAAAATGTCTCCAGGGACTTACAGAATCCCTATCTTCTCACTTTTAGTTTTTTATTTTTTATAAATTTATATTTTTGTCATACTTAATTTACTGAGAATCTAGGAAGATATCCAGTTGTCTTTAGGTCAGATTTTCAGGTTGGAGATAAACAAGCCTGCTTCCTCTAGCGCTTGAGCTTATCTGGGCTGCCAGCCAGCTTAAAGTAATGGAGTTTTTCTGTTCCTAGAATTTTATTTTATCAGCAGCTCCCTGTTTTTGATACTCTACTAATTTCAAAATTATGTATTGAAGAAAATCTTAAAAGATGAATTCGAGAATTTACTGGCAATTTTATACTTTAATACTAAATATTTTTCATTGCTGTGTAAGACTTTAAATACTTAACATCTAAATAAATACTGAGATATAACAAAAAGCATTTTGATTATATTTTTAGTTTTTATATACTTTTGCTAATGCTGTATAAGAATTTGTAATTCAAATTCTAAAGAGGAAAAATAAATTCTTTCTGGCACTTAAATTTTTTTTTAACTGTGTTTAATTTGGATTAATGGTGGAATTGTTTTTCTCTACTATAGTTAATTCTACGCTTTAGATTGAAAATTCCTTAAATTTAAGATAACAGATGCTAGAGTATTTGTAACCAAATAAAACAAGTAATTTCCAAGTTAAGATAAAAATTAAATCTATGAAGATATGTAGAACTATGTCTATCTAATTTTATTAAAATATTTAAGTAAATATCTCTGGGTTATACTATATTGGAGTGTCTGTTATTTATTGATCCCTAAATTCTACTTAGGAAGGAAAACTCTTCATTTTTGTAAATTGACTTTCTGAAAAATATGTACATAATTTTATAATGTGACCATATGGTCTATATCTTTCCCATTAATGCCTTTTTAAAAAAATACAGACTCAGAACATCTGAATATTACTACTCGATTTACAGAATTTGGCATTTGTGTCTTTGACTAATACAATCTCAAATCTGTACCAGTGGGATCTACTCTGGTACTCTGATATTAGCAGGTTTTTCCTAAAGGACTTATTTAAAATGTTTCCTGGTTTAAATGGTACTCCTACTCCTCAGTAACTGACCAGAAGGCACATGAAAGAAGAAACATTTTCAGTGAAGAAAATTGTTTAGTTGCTGTTTCCTCTGGCACTGAAATGCTTTTATAATTTTAATGTAAAAACTCAGCTTTTAGTCATAGTCTGTAGTCTTTTAGAGCTGGCTGAATATAGGTATTAGTTATTTTAAAGTACCTTAAAAAAACTACTTTATAAGCATTTTCAATTCCCTTTATTGCAAAAAGTCTTTGCATATATTTTATTTATGTATACAAAAGATTTGTTATCGTTTTAATTCTCTACAGTAGGAATTAACTTTTCATATTTTAGCAGTATTTAACCTTTGGATGTCAAATTCATATAGAAGGGAGTGAGGATGAAAATCAGCATATTAGAACCTAAGTTCTTATCATGAAGTTTCTATGGTTCATTAGGAAATTGACTTGGCAAGCTTCAGTTTCAAGTAGATTTTTTAATAGCTACTTGAAATTGTCAGGAAATTTATTAACTAGCAAAATTTGTTAGGCTAAACATTAAGGTTATCTACTGATTTACCAAAAATCGAGTCTATGCCTGACTTCTTCTTAACTGTTTAATGCTTACAAGATGTCACAGCATACATTTTTTACTAATGATATTATTTCACTTATTTTATCATTAATAAATCATTTGCATTACAGTTTCTAATTTTCTTTTTGAAAACTAACTATTTGGACAAAGTTATTAAAATAGTATTTTTATTTTTGTAGGAAAGGCTGAATTATGCTTCAATAATAAAAAGCATCCAATAGAATGTGTACTGTGATATCATCTCAAGAAAGATAAATTAATTGTTAAAATGTTGTCTTGCAAAAGATTGGTAGATCAAATGTTGACTCTGTTGTAGTCACAAGTTTGGTGAGGGTAAATAACCTTATTCTTCTAAAAATATGTTTACAAGTTTCTTAATTGTTTAAAAACTGCCATGGGTTGGGGTGGTTTTTGTTTTGTTTTGTTCTATAGGTGCAAAGACATTAATACTATTTGCCTTTTTCTTTTAGTAAAAGTCAAGCATATATTTGATAAACATCACTAATATTTTGTTTAATTAAAAATTCTATAAAGCATTCAAATAATGTTTATCAAATACAACTTTTTTAAAGTTTATACTGCAATAAAAAGGCAAAATGACAAACCTCATTTAAAATTTACTTTGAAGCTCAGTGTTTTTGCTCTCTTAGTTGTCTACCACCTCCCTCCCTTCTCCCTCCCTTCTCTGTTCAAATGGAGAGGATATAAGGAGAGTACAGATGCGACAGGTCTTAAAAGAAAGCGTTCCCAAGGTACAGTAATTGTAGTTTTAGTTCTCCATGTAGTTGTAATTCTAAGTTTTAGCCTTTAGTTACTTTGCTCTAATTTGAATTTAATGACTATATTTAAAGTCATAAAAATAATTTGTTTTTGATTGTATCTATAATGCTACTGTGCTTAGTATTGCTAAACTAGAACTAGATAGAAACATTGCCCATAGTCCAATAATGGGATGTTAAGATGTACCT